GTAATTCCAACAAATGCAATACAATATTGTGCAAACATACTCTTTAAGGTCAGATCCGCATTTTAATAGTGTTGTGAATAGACCAAAGTACCTGAGGCAATATTTAAAGAGTCTTTGCAACTGCTTTTTGTAGGGAACACAATGTGAGAGACAAAAACCGTTCTTTACTTTTCCACACATAGCCTACAGTCAGGTCCAAAAGTCTAAGATAAGAAACAACAAGATTCTGCACTATTTTTAGGTCACTATTCAAATGCAGGAAAATTAGTGACATTGAGCTTGTGACTCCTCGCACTGATGGTCAGAATTTGGTCAGAACATACTCAAATAAAATAAGAACAATCATAATAATAATCCAAAACTTTAACTTGTATTTTTATTTGGGCACATGTTTTATGTATTTAAATAAATGTATTTATAATAATACATTTAGAACTATACATTTTTATTTAAAATCTATAATTTTTTATAAATTTTTTTAAAAACGTCAAGTAATATTTGAAATCTAAATATTATATATATATATATATATATATATATACACACACACACACACATTTAATACATATATATATATAATGCAAGTGGGCATTCTATAAGACTTATGAGAGGTTAAGGAATGGTTATTGTCATGGCTGTGATTAGCTGTTCCTGCTTTCAGATCTGCTTTAAAGGAGTAGCTCACTTCCAGAATGAAAATTCTGTCATCATGTACTCACCCTCCACTTGTTCCAAACCTGTATGAGTTTCTTTCTTCTGTTAAACACAAATGAAGATATTTTGAAAAATGTTGGTATCCAAACAGTTAATGAGCACCATTGACTTCCATAGTATTTTTTTTCTCCTACTATGGAAGTCAATGGTGCCCCAAAACAGCCTGGTTACAAACTTTCTTCAAAAATCTCCCTTTCTGTTCGGCAGAAAAAAGAAATGTATACGGGTTTGGAACTACTTGAGGGTGAGTAAATGATGACAGAATTTTCATTTTTGGGTGAACTATCCCTTTAAGGATCGTCTTTATTTGTGTTCAAAACTTTGATAATCAACGCTTGATTACGTTGGGAAAACAGTTACTGCCAGTGACTCTATGGAATCAAGGTGATTTTAAAGAGCAATTCCTTTAAAACACAATATAAAGTCTGAGAGAACAGAACACACTGCACCTTTCAGAGAGGCATTACTGTAACCTGATCGCCTCTGAACATAACGTTATTTAAAGAGCTATACTTCTGCTTCTTATTGTCCACCAACATGACAATCTATAAGGTGCTGTCAGGTGACGCATCACTTCCTGCTATGAGCTCAGGTCACTGGACCCTTTTCACAAGACTGTGATGAGGATAAATCCTCGAAAGTTTTTCATATTTGTATTTTTTTAAAAATGTATGTACATTTATAACACTATTCTTTGTATTGTATCACCTTTGCATCAAATTACAAAAAAACACCATTGCGAGGGTGTTTCTAATGCAGCATCTATGGGAGGGATGGTAAATTTGACATTGTTCTCTCTTCTGACTGCCATTATCAGTCTCTCTCAATTTATTTCCTTTTATTGAAAGTCATGAAAACACTATCGTGGAGTTTTTCTTTTGCTATTTGTGCAAATGGGAATGTAAAAAATATATTTGTGGTACTCTCCCATTCACTGCTAATCAAGTTAACCCAACTATGACGACTTCCGCTGCTGAGAAACCCGGAAATGTGAAAAAGGTCCATATTCAAACTTTATATATTTAAAACATTAATATGATAGTGATAGGCAATTATATATGTAACTATGTAAATAAACAATATGCAAATAAATCATTGTGTATGCGAGGGTGTTTCTAATGCAGTGTCTATGGGAGGGACGGTAAATTTAACACCGTTCTCTCTTCTGACAGCCGTTATCAGTCTCTCAATTTTTTTCCTTTTACTGAAAGTCATGAAAACACTAATGTGAAACACTAATTCTTTTGCTATTTGAGCAAATGGGAATGCAAAAAATATATTTGTGGTCCTCTCCCAATCACTGCTATTCAAGTTAACCCAACTATGACGACTTCTGCTGCTGAGAAACCCAGAAATGTGAAAAAGGTCCCTTATAATGCCTTTACAGGACTTTAAATAGGTTTGATCGCACCGTCCATAAACCTTTAAGGCCAAGTGTTACCCAAGGATTAAGCAGCACTCCATAAGAGCCGCCACACAACGTGTGTGTCACATACACTACTCGCGTCTCTAATGTGAGGTCAGAGTTTGTTTAGGTTTAAGATGAACAGAAAGTTCTGGTCGGGTCATTGTCCAAAGACAGGGGAGATAAACATTTAAAAACCATTAATAAAGTATTATTGATGTGACATGTTACGCGAGACTGTCAGAGTTACTGTCAAATGTGCATAACTAGGCTTCAAATGTTATGACAGGTTGTGAAATATAATTTAATTTAAAAGTCTGCTCAAGCCTCCTCATTATTTGAGGAATCACTGGACTATATAAATATATATATATATATATATATATTTTTTTTTTATTTTTTTTT